CCAGCTCCTACTAATTCTGGGTACTGATCCTGCTCTAGAATAAGATTCCAGACAAGAGGAGCTAATGAGGATGTGGGACACTCCGCAAAAGCCTCACTGTCCCTGGGTTCACTTTGGAAGTTGTTTTTTCAGATGAGGGTAAAAGCAGACAGACTCAGAGCTACCGGCATAAAATGAAGGTGGGGCTGCCTGTAGGCGTCTCACCTGCTTCTCAGCCAGGCCAGCAGCTCAATGCCCCTTCTTACTCCATGTTGAGCACCTGATCCACAGCTGATGCTGGGTCCTCTGCAGGCGCCAGGGTGGCCTCTGGGAGCAGCCGTGTCCACATGGGCAGACCGACTTCTGCACCCACATCCACCAGGCCACACCTGAGGCCGGAGCAGAGGATGCGAGAACAGAGTGTGACTTTAAGGATCCCACAGCTGAAGGGACGAGGTGTTAAAGAGGCGCTCACAGTAAGTGGCAGGAGCATGAAGCCCAGGTTTCTTGGCCCGCAGTCAGCACGGTCTGTGCTCTGACCTCAACCCACCTCTCCGCCTGCGCACCCATCGCTCGCCGCTACTCCTGCTGCCCGGGCTGAGAGCGGGGCTTTCCCTCTGCTCTCACCAGTCTCTCCTCCTGGCATGGCTCCGTCCATCCCTCACCCGCTGCCTCTAATGCTACTCTGACCCTGGGACCAGCTTCAACTTCACCCTTCCCGAAGGGACCCCCGCCTCAAATGAGCTCAGTAGGGGGCCCACCCTCCCAGGCTCTCCTGAGACAAGGGGGGAGGTGGGAGGGGCGAAGGCCAAGGCTTCAGACCCATGTGCCTTGGAGAGTCAGGCTGGGCAGCTCAGGGGCCACAGACCAAAGTTTGCCTGTTGACCAAGGAGGAAACCAGGAGCAGGAAGCAAAGGGTCCACATGAGCTGGGAAGGGGACTGGGGAGACTCTGGGTGCTAGCTCCCAGCACAGAGCTCTGTCTCCTTTTCTGGAAACCACTGGCCACCCCATAGGAAGTGACTGCAAAGGGTGGCATTATGCTTTGACAGGCAACTGTGGGATTAATACAGGTTTTCTGTTGCTAATCAGTGTGATCTCACTCACTTGCATGGGATGCACGTTCATCCAGGCCTGTTCAAATTTCTTCCCCCACCATGTGGAGAGCCTGAAGTTGTCTTTAAGTGAGTGGGCACAAGGAATGGGCAGGTTTCCCAGCCTCTCCCTAGCACTGTCTTAAAGCCTCTGTTGAGGTGGCTGGGAAGGGTCTCACAGGAGAAGGTTGAGAAGGGTGCAGAGGCCCCTCTACCGCTCCCAGACACTTGTCCTTTTGTCTGCTTTGCATGAGTGTGCCTCAGTTTCCCCAAATCTCTTTGGATACAGAATTGAGTTAGATGTACTATAAATCCTGACACCTCCTTCTCACCTGGAATGGAGGCTCTAAGAAGTAATGAATTCTTTATTTTGGCATCAACCTCCAAATGGCTAGTTTTCTCATTAAAACCAGAGAATGGACAATTTTGAAGAGATTATTTCCCTCAAAGATAGTAATCTGCAATTTAATATTACAATAGCATTTGTTGAAGTCAGTGGTTCAAACAGCTGCTCAGAGAAATTATTAATTTCCTGCAGTGGGCTGTGATCAGGAACTCACTGGCCAGAAAGCCATTATTTTTTAAGATGTGCATTATGCCTAGAAGACTGGTGTAGAGACACAAGAGCATTGTAAGTGGCAGCGCTTAACTCGGGGCTGTGTTGAAGAGGAGTTGGCTTTATTGTGTGGCAGAAACACATGCCGAGTGATCAGAGGCCACGCAGAGGCACAAATAGTAAAACACATATTGCATTTTAGGTCAAGGATTACCCTGGGCCCTTTCTTGGCTGACTCTGCTCTGCTCCATCTGGAAGGTAAAAGCGATGAGCATTAGGGTCCTTCGAGTGTCTGTGTTCTACTCATCTACTCCTGTTTTCTTCCAGTGAGTTAAAGTGTCTCAGCCTTGGTGCTGATATATTTGGGGTCAGATATTCTAGATTGTTCTGTGCACGATTAGCAGCACTTCTTGCCTTGACCCACCAGGTAACAGTATCACACTTCACTAGTGCAAGCAAAAGTGTCTTCAGACCTCCTGGGGGTCAGAAGGTAGGGGTAAAATCACCCTGGTTTAGGGAGATGTGTATCTGTAATGGAGTTCCTTCCAGAACCAAGGGATGGACCCAGGGACCTTGCAACTATGTTTGCTCTCTAACACCCTCAACTTAATCTAAAGTGAATGAATTTCATTGTTGATTCATTTTAGTTCCAAACTGATTTCCAAATGAAAAATGAGAAATTGCTTCATGCCATTCCTCTTTGCCATTTATAATGAGTAATGGACAATTTTTAAACTTCCTCATAACTTATGGGAATAAAAAATGTACAATATTTCATCCCTACAAGGTAACTATTTGGCTTCAATAAGATAAAGCTTAACAGTCTGCCTTAGAGTGTACCGTGCCGAAGGAAATAGATGGCAGGGCATAGTTGCCTTTGAGATGACTATAGAATAGCTACTTGATACGTTCTGCCTGGATACTCTCACCCTGATATTTTACTTTCATGTCTCTCCTAACTACATTCAGTCCCTTTAAAAAAATATGTTGGACCTCCCTGGTGGTGCAGGAGGTTGAGTGCCGCACTGTGAAGCTGTCCAAAGCCTCTGCAGCGCTGGTTCGATCCCAGCCAGCCGGCAAGGGTCCCACATGGCGCGGCAGACCTCTCCTGTCTCACCCGCTGCTCCCCTCAGCAGTGTATTTCATCAGTCTGCCTATTCTGTTCCCTGCTCTGTTTCTGGTGAATCCTCTCAACCTCAAGCGAATCTGGACTTACCTCGGTTCTTGTATAAATAAATAAATAAAAATCTTAAAAAAAATATGTTTAGATGAAAGCTATTCTCTCGATAGAGACACTGGTTCCTTCCTCACCACAACACTAACCACCATTCTATATTGCCTCTCTCTCAGCCCTAATGAGTAGTCTAAATATGGATTTCTGATTTGCTCCTGTTTGTTTGCTTTTTTATCTGAGGTGACATTGGTACACAATGGGCTTCTGATTTATTTATTTTATTTTCATTTTTTTTAAAGATTTATTTTTATTTATTTATGCATATAAGAACTGAGGTGCAGGCCAGAGGTGTGAGGTGGGTGGGGGTGTGGGGGGCGGTGTGGTGAGAGGATTCACCAGAGACAGATTTGGGAGCAGAACAGGCAGATCTACTGAAACACACTGCTGAGGGGAGCGGCGGGCGAGACTGGAGAGGTCTGCTGAGCCATGTGGGTAGTTCCCTGGCTGGGGATCCAACTCACGATGCAGTGCTAAGACTTAACCTCTTGCACTACCAGGGAGTCCCCTGGGCTTCTGATTTAGACAGACCCAGACTCCAGTAACAATTTTGACCTTCACAACTTACGTGCCCTTGTGTAGAATGCTTAGCTTTCCTTGGTTCAAATTCCTTCTCTCTGAAGTGGGTTTGCAATGTCTACTTTCTGGAGCTGTGAGGAGTTAATGAAATGATGAATAAGAAAGCCCCAAACATTTACCTTGTGTGAGTGCACAGTTTGTTTTATCCATAAGGTCATCAAACCACTGCAGGATGGACCAGGTCTGCGAGGCTCTGCCTTCAGCATAAACATGTCCAGCCACAGTTACTGAGATACCAGTCTAATGTCACCTCATCTCACTGCTTTACTTAGACATACACCTGAACTCTTACGCCACTTGTTTGGAAGAACAAAAATTGTCAAGCAGTGTCGCAAGTGGGGCCACCTAGAATAGCTGGAGGGACCCCACTGGGTCAAGCATTCCTTTTTCAAGATCTGGCCAGCTGTGTAGCCAGCTGAAGTTGACGTGGAAGCAAATGTCTACTTTGTGGTGGGAGATGCTCCTTAGTAGGCTAAGGTCAAAGGCCTTCCCTGTGTGAATATAACTAAAGGCTATTCACTTGAGCTTCCATTACCTACTGGCCTAGCATTTGTCTGGATTCTAAAGGAACACCAGAGGGGATTTTTAAGCTGGAACATTATGAAGATGACAAATGCACTACATGGAGCTGATTCCTCATGCTGAGTGAGACACACATCATTCAGAAAATGGGACTTAGGGCATAGCCCATAAAACACCAGAAATTCTGACGTGAGCTTTGAGGTTCTACTTATTGCAATTCCTATGGGAACCGTAAGCCAGAGGGTTAGAAGACCTAGAACTTGTCCAATGCGGACACTTCTTACTTATCCTAAGTTCTTCTCTGTCTGTAGTGTGACTTAGTCTTTCCTTGTTACTATTTGTAGAAAACCTCAATTTTTCACTCATGTTATTGAACCCATTTTTCCCCCTAGGAGCTGTCTTTATTGGTTGGATTCCACAGAGATTTTCTCCCTTCAAACAACTCTACACAAGGCTCATACCCCATAATGGTTTGCCTCAGAATGGCCTCTTTTTTATTTCAATTCTGTAATTTTCTCTCAAATCTGGCTACTCTGTTTTCTGACGGAATCTCTCCCTTTCTTTATCTCTAAGAACAATGCTCACTGAAGAGCAGCAATGACTCCCTATCTCTGTGACTACTTCTCTCAGTTTCTTCTTAAGCATTTATGACTGGGTTGGAATTAGATCACCTTCAATTCCAATAACATTTTATGCAACATGCTTAAAAAGAGATAAAATCACATTGCATTACGGAAAGCTTCCTACTAAGTGCCAGGTTATGTCAGCAAGATTCCCCAAGCAACCCCCCACGTCCCTTACCCCAAAGGGCCAGAACAGGACATTCTGCTCACCCAGCCGTCCCCCCTCCCCTTGCTCTCCTGTTATTGTTTGCTTCTAGACTACTCCCTGTCCCAAGGGAGCCTGATCATTCGAGTTAGTTTGCCTTCTCTGCTGTCCTTGGAAAGCCTCTTCCCTCTGCTAGCAGTTTCAGGGATCAATTGTTCTTTGGCAGAGAAAGAGGCTCCATGACAATGAAGAGTTTCCATTTCTTCCTGCAGCTGCTGACTGGAGAGAGCAAGCCAGACTGTGCACCTTCCCACAGGAGAGGAAGTAGCTGAGCCCTGGAGACTAAACAGACCAGCTCCCCCAAACACCTGAGCAGAAGATGGGGCTGGGGACACCTTTTTCCAGGTGGGTGCATCAGCTGAAAGCAGGTACACACCCCGGTATCACGCTGCATAGCCCGCTGTGTCTGAATACAAGCAAGAGCAGTGAACTCATTTACTGATAAACCAATCAGTCTGTAAAGTTCTGAGGAACATCTGACACCATACAGAAGAAAGCATAACTTTAACTTCAATGAAGTTAAAAAGAAGAAAACATAACCCATTATTGATTCATTGTCAACATTTTGTGTTCTCATATCAAGGTATGTCCCATTTGTTTTCAGAGCTTTGAAGCAGATATGGAAGAGTTTTGCAATACTCTTCTTTTCTAGATATTTTATCGATTGCTCTCTCCATCAGACAGTAACTTCATATCAACTAAGGTATAAAAATCCCAATTTAATTTACATGTGCCATGACAGAGAGTTAAAATGAAATGTGCCTTCTGTGAAGGGAGAGTTACCTGACCTCTCTTCTGTTTCCTAAGTACTTCATCTGCCTCTTCTGCTTTCACTGTTTTTTTCTAGAACATTCCTGATCAAGGGTATGGGATAGTCTGTGACCCAGTGAACTCCCAACTAAATGGGGAGATACAAGCACTTCCCAGGCTCTGAAGCACCTCTCTTTTCTTCCTTTGGGGTAAAGATGCTTAAAGACTACACCTGATGAAAAGGAAAGGAAATCCTGACATAGCTATCACTTCTCAGCCACAGGTTATTTTCCTTCCCCAACCTCGCTCTCATAAACACACAAATACTCACTTAAAGCAGTCTTACATTCCAGAAGTGAAGACAATCTTAAGACAGGAAAGTCTGAACATTCCAAATCCAGTTACCTTTGCCCTGATTGCTGTATAACTGTTGATGAATCATTGTTCTTTAAAAAAAAAAAATTGGGGTGAGCATCTCAATGATTAATGAAGGTTTTCAAGACTGGCAGGGGCCTTACCCAGATGCTAATAAAATTTTCCACCTACGTCTTGGGTTTAGAATGAGAATAGTGGAGGAAGAGAAAAAAAATGTGCAAAAGCCTGCAGATTTTTTAAAACTCACTGCCTTTGGACACATTAAGGATTTGTGTAATCATGGTGATTACTATTATTCACTTGACTGTTTTTCAACTCCTAAATCAAACTTTTCCTTTTGAATTTGGATGTCATCTTTTGATATCCAGAAAAGGGTTGCAAAATAGAAATCCTATCTTGCAGAGTGCCATCAGTTATATTTTCAAAGGGTGATTGGTAGCATGCCAGTCTTACTCCTCCATTACAAATGACTGCCGACCCTGAGAGTCTCCTGAATCTGCAAGTAATGCCCTCTCTCCTGGACCCAGGCTGGGCATAGTCACTTGACGGCAATTACAACATTGATGTCCAATCATGTGGCAAGAAAGATATCAAATGACATCGCCTTCGTAGAGGAGAGTTCCTCCACCCCTTTGTGAGGACAACGAGAGGCCCAGATGCTGTGATTCTTCCCCAGCTGATGATAAGACACACAGCAAAGACAGCAAAGCTGGTCTTCCCCACCCCATCACTTTCTCTTTTTGTCCCCAATTCTTTCCTATCTCCCTAACCTTCACATTTTCCTCATTTATCATTTCTTTTTTTTTTTTTAGGCATTTTTTAAAAAAATTATTTATGCATGCAAGAACTGGGGGACAGGCCAGAGGTGTAGGGGTGGTGAGAGGATTCACCAGAGACAGAGTAGGGAGCAGAACAGGCAGACTGACTCAAACACACTGCTGGAGGGAGCAGTGGGCAAGACAGGAGAGGTCTGCTGCATGATGAGGGTCACCTCCTTGGCTGGAGATTGAACTCATGCTGCAGAGGCTGTGGATTGCTTCATAGTGCGGTGCTTGACCACTTGCACCACCAGAAAGGCCCCTCACTTATCATTTCTTAAGAAAAACCACTTTATTTAAAGTGAATCACTCTCTTTCACCTTTGATGGAAGTTTGCTTATTGTAGTAAGGTCAACTAGCTGAAACCCAAAATCTGGTCCCCTGGTTTCTCTGAGCACAGAATTAGACCCCAGCTCCTGTTGTGACCACGTTGATTGAGTTCTTGTCAATTAATTTATTTGTGCCTCTCCCAGTTCTGGCCTTTTCACCTTGAAGCCTGGCCAGGCCAGGACATGTAATTTCTGTGTTATGGTTACAGAACTGCTGCCATCCTGGCATCCTTGAATGACCACCTGGACCTCTGGCCTGGAGCCACGCTGCTCCATGAAGTGATTCAGAAATAAATTGCTGTTGTGCCAAATGCCAATGATATGGGCTTCTTTGTTACCTCAGCCTAATAATCTACATCAAGAGCTAGACTTTAGTGCTTGCTTCAGATGAATTTTAATTTTATTACTGTGTCATCTGAAATTTTTAAGATACAATCAGATTCTTCTGGTAGTAGGAACATAACCATTGGGAGAAACTCCAGGGTTGAAAATTTGTGCCCATCAAAGAATAATCACCAATAAAATACCAGCCACACAGAGATAGTGCATTTAGTATTAAGTTGACTGCAATCATTAATCTCCCCTCAGTTGAATCAGCTGAAAGTTAAGGCAGTTATATCCTTTCTGACCATTGCTGACCTGGGGTGTGGCTTGGTACAGGGAGGCATTGCCAGCTCACTCAGGTGAGGGGCCTTGTATGAAAACATTACTTTCTGATTCCATTTCTGAGGAGCAGGGCCCATGGGCCTGGGGCTTGGGGCCCTGGGCTTGGGACACACTACGGACCCTGATGTCAAGGTGATCTGTGAGCACCTGGGCTGCCATAAGGAACAGGGTCTTTCAGAGTTTCCCATCAGATCACAGATATGGTGTCTAGACCTGGAACACCATATTGAAATGCAGACCATGAAAGGGAATGCCAACATGCACTGGCAAATGTGCCGTGAGTTCTGGGAAGCTGGCTGGCAAGGAGAGCTAGGGGACAAAATCAGACCAGGAAAAATGAGGCTCCTGATGATGCAGAGCTAGATCCTGGGCAATTCCTGTAGACATAGAGTCTATTTCATGTGTTGTCATGAAAAGACAATTATTTTAAGGTAATCACTGTTTACCTGATGTCTTAATTGGGCATATTGAAGAATCAAATTTTGTTGTTCTTTGCCCAAGATCAAACTTGGAAAATTGAGCTCATCCCTAGCTTTCTCCTGTCTTTCCATTTTTCCTTCTCTCTTTTCCCCTCCCTCTCTCCCTTCATCCTTTCTTCCTTCTGTCTTATTTGCTGGACACAAATTATATAACAGAAATGCATGCAAAGCACTGAAGTTCAAAGAATATGTAAGAATTCTACCTGTCCCCAAGGGGTCCACAGTCTCATGGAGAAGAATGACCCAGATGAAGACAATAACACAATTTGGTATGTTGCAAAGAATTAGGTGGTAAGAAGGCAAAGAGCAAACATGTCTAAATCCCACTTTGGACTATTTCTAGATTCTTGACATGTGTCTCTCCATTTTAGATGTCAGCACCTCTGGCTCTGGATGTCCTGTGACTCTGAGGTGGACCAAAGGAATGTATCAGACCCTTATGGAAACCTCTAAGAAAATTCTCAAGAATCCAGCCCCTGAAGTGTTTGTCTTGGGAACCCTCCTTAGGTCCCTGGGAGAGATCCGCCTCCTCCCTTCGAGTGTGTCCTTTGTGAGTTTGGTAACACAGCCAAGGTCAGTCTGGTGTTTCTCACTTTACAAATTCTCTCATCTGTCAAGAGATGCTAAAGGCATAGCTCACAATCAAATGTACCCCCAAGGCCATCAACATTTAAAAATTGGCCATTGTTTACCAAGTTCTGTCAACCAGAATTGGGTATTTCTTGAATTTGTTTGTTTGAGGAAAGAGTTATTTTGCTCTCTCTAACCACCCGCCTTGCAGAAAGAGAGAAAGTGTTTAAACAAACAAATTTCACAAAATATTCCTCTTCCTTTAGTTAGGGGGAAACATAAAATCAACTTGGTCAATAGAATGAAGAAACTACAAACACAGAAAGTTGCTTTAACTGAACACATATGCTCCAAAACTCGCTTTACAGATAGCCTGTGAGGATGTTAATCTGTTCTAGTGATGTTTTACAATCTATAAAACAATTTTAAAGAAATGTTATCTTATTTAATTCTTTCCACCACCTTATTTAGTTCTTTCCATCACCTGGTAAGGTGATTAAAATTGCTTGCATTTTGTAGATGACAACTGTGGTGTTTAGAGGAGTTCCCAAAACATCCAAGCGTGCCCAGCCAGAAGGGAAGAGACTGAATTTAGTCTGTGTGACTCCATCCTCCATGAATTTTCTACACATCCTGTGTCCTCTAGCTACAACTCTCTCGTCCTCCGTGTAGAAAGGCAGTGAGGCTGAGGTCAGAGGCACACATGTGGACCATGAAACTTGAATCTCAGTCTTGTTCATGTTCCTTCTGTGTGAACTTTGGAACTGAGTTGTCCAAAATGAATTTTAATCCTCGGTTAAGATTGCTGTGTGCCGAATAGTCCACACTTAACACCAATGCAAGCTCACCACCAAGGGAAAAAACCCAACTATCAGAAAACACTGGAAGAAAAACTCTGAATAGACTGGCTTTCATTTCTAAAGATGTTTTGGAGATGGAAGAAGGTACTGCTTTCTAAAAGACTCTGTTACCTCTCCTGCTCCAGAGAACATGAAGAAATTTTGGTTTTGTGACTGTTTGAGATGTAGAACTCACTCTTCATAGAAACTCCAACCCCCATCTCCCTGTTCTTTGTAAGCAGTCTAACAACTTAGAATCCAAAGAAAAACATTAAAACAGCAACAGATTATTTTAATTTGGGGTTTCTCAACCTCAGCACTACTGGCATTTGGGGAATGGATCATTCTTTGTTGTGGGGGCTGTCTTGTGCAGTGTAGGATGTTTAGTGTCCTTGGCTTCTACCCACTAGATTCCAGTAGCACCCCCAGTTGTGACAACAAAAAATGTCTGCAGACATTGCCAATGTCCCCCTGGGTGCAAAATTACCCCCTGCAGAGAACCACTGCTTTAATGGTTCTCAAGAGAGAGCACACATCCTTGCTTTTTTGTTCTTTCTCTTAATGATCTGGAAGACATTAAAAACATCACATGCTTTAACCATTGTTCAGGAAACAGATTCTGGGTTCGTTGGCTTTCATCTGGTCCCGCCCCTCTGCTAAGGTAATCAATCAATAGTTAACTTCTTTAATTGTTAGAGGATGGCAAGTTTGTTTTCATTTGCAGACTTTGAGAAAACATGTATGTCCATAAGCTGTGGAATGGACATATGTGAGTCCTGAGACCATTTTCTAATTATGTGAAGTTAATCTCTCTGGTTATCCATCACCTTATCTAACCCTTTGAAGACTTGTTGCAAGAATTAAATGAGATAATAACACACACATGTCACATATAGGGTTGTCAGAATTTGTAGACAAAAATACAGGATAGTCAGTTAAATCTGAATTTAAGATAAACAACATTTTTTGTTTGGTATGTCCTATACAACATTTAGTGCCTTTAATCATATACAAAGTGTTCAGTTTTATTACTGGAATTTCCAACTAGGGCATCAATTGAGAAAACCATGCACAGCTCTTGCCTTTAAAGTAAATGGTCCTGGATCTATGTAAAATAAAATGGGCGTTTCTCAAAATATTAATACCATGTGATCCAGCAATTCCACTCCTAAGATCTACCCAGAGAATACAAAAACACAAATTCAAAGATATATGTGCTTTCCCATGTTCATCGGGCACTATTTACAATAGTAAATTTATTAAAACAACTAGATGCCCAACGATAGTGAGTAGATTAAAAAGATGTGGAATATATATTTGCTATATATAAATCTATAATATATAATATCCATGGTATGTAATATCTATTATACATACACACAACATGGACTATTACTCAGATAAAAAAGATGAAATCTTGTCATTTGAGAAAATATGGATGGAATTGGAGGCGTTTATGCTAAGCAAAACAAGTCTGAAGAAGAAAGACAAATACTGGATGATTTCATTCATATGTAGAATATTGTAAGGGCAGGACTGGACCAGTGCAGGTTTTCTGATCCCATGCAAACCGGGTAAAGGAGCAGTCAGAGTCCTTAGTGGCTTTTGCAGGTCTTTTATTGGGGTTCACCAGGCATATGGCAGGCAGGGGTGCTGGGGGCAAATCCTCACTCTATCTGGGCTCTCTGGCGTTCTCTGCTTCTGCTGCTGCTGGTGTCCCCGTGACGCCGCCCTTAAAAGCACAGTCTTAGCCCAGCTGAATCCCATCTACCTATGCCCACACCCTACTCCAGTTGCCCGCCATCAGGCATGCATTCAGGACTTCAAGGATCTATCATCTATCCTGATGGCAGGAGGGCAGAAAAGCCTGATATTTTTCCTTACCCTACAAATATACAGAAACAAAACAAAGGAATGGACAAAATTAAACCAAAACAAACCCTAGAAATTTGGCTGCAGAATTGAGGTTACCAGGGGGAAGGATATGGGATTGGGGGCTAAAGCAGGGAGGGGACCCAGTGGATTATGATGGAGGATTTTGGTGCTTTGGTGATAGCTGCGTTGCAGTGACATACATCTGAAGAGGTGTAAACCTATACTTCTGAATCACTTACAGTGTTGTCATTACTTCAATAGAAAAAATAAATAAACAAAAAAGTGCAGTGGATTTTTAAGTCAACAAAGACAAAGGGACATTTGAGGTCTTCCTGAAGAACCAGTTATAAATATATCAGATTTTTCAGTGTTTGATTTTCGCTTGGTTATTCAGGAGTTCTACTAGTCAAATGACATAACTTCTCCTTTATATTGCTCCTATGTGATTGTTCCATACCTGTGAGGATATATGGATAAATAATTAGGAAATAAACTTCTGCATATTTTGAGATATGACTGAAATTGTAATCCAGATCGTCAGAAAGAATTGGGTTCAAATCCCCATCACCTACGAAGAGGAGCTTGTAAGAGTCCCACCTCTCTTATTTGCTCCCAGTTTCATTGTCTGCAGAATGGTATCACCTACTCAACAGGCTTTTGGGGGGTGTAGAGGAATGAGGTCATTTCTGTGAGTTAGTTTTCTTCCTTTTTTTTACTTTCCATTCCATCCTTTCTCTAGCCTAGGTTAAACAATTTTGATTTTTAAAATGCCCTTAAAAAGAAATAATTGGCTACAACTGAAGGATAGAATAAGTGGAAAATCATCACTCACTAGTTAAAATATAATTAGGGAGAACTGAAAGCTTGTTAATCAATTTTCAGTGAAAGAACTTGAACTCTTGAGTAGGTCACATTCAGCTTAAATCTTGTGGCATTCATTTACCACATGGTTAACCACAAGGTGCTAAACTTTTCTGAGCTGGTTTCATTCTTTCATAATGTCCACAAAATATTTACTTCTCATTATTTTGTGAGAATCAAATAGATATTAATGTTCTTGGTAAACTATACATCAGCATACAAATGTTGGTCAGAAATATTACTCTTTTTTTTTAATGAAAGGAATCATAACGCTTACTTTAGGGAATCATGTCAACCTGTTAACAATGCTTTGACTGTGTACTGTGACTTACACTATAGAGGACACATAGATGCCTGAATAATATTCATTCTCCATCTCTGCTTTGTTCACAAGTGTCTGACTTTATCAGCGCAGCCATATGTACAGCTGAAAGACTACATTTTAAAGCCTACTTTGCAACTGTAAGTGACCAATGAGAAAAAAATCAAGGTCAAAAAAGGCATGAAAGGGGTAGACAGATCTTCCTAGAAAGTTCTGGAGCTGCCTCAGCTGAATGATGTGAGAATCTTTGCTTCTCCCTCTTCCCTTCTGCTCTCTAGAATGTAGGTAAAACTACAGCTTATAACTTATGACTTACAACTTTTGACCATGAAGGAAAGTTGAGAATGGATGCTCTATGCTAAGAAAGTGGACAATAAAAAGAGACTAAGATTTCAATGACCTCAGAGTGAGCACAACACCACCAAACTATTTTTTCTGATAAACTTTCTACCTGATGAAAGCGTTTGTATTTTGTCGATCTGTGCAGCCAAAGTTATTCTTAAACAATGCGCTAAGAAAAGTCAAGGACTATTACATGCATTCTCTTAATTGCACACAAGGTTTACTCAAATTCACTGAAAATGTGATCTATATAAAACCTGCACTTGGATGTTTAGAGAAGTTTTATTTGTCATTGCCAAAACCAAAATGTTCTTTGGTGGGTGAATGGATAAATAAACACAAGATGTTCTTCAGTTAGGTGAATGGATAAATAAACTGGTACATTCAGATTCTGGAACATTATTCAGCACTAAAAAGAAATGAACAAGCCATGAAAAGCCATGGAGAAAATGTCCATGCATACTGCGAAATGAAAGGAGGCAATCTGAAAAATTTCTTACTGGAAGATTCCAAAGATATAACATTATGGAAAAGCAAAACTGTGGAGATGATAGAAATACCCGTGGTTGTTGGGGGTAGGGAGCAGGGAGGAGTGAATTTCAGAAGACGGGGGAATTTTAGGAGAGTAAACTTACTCTATATGATACCGTACTGATGACAATGTGTCCAAACCCATAGAATGGACAGTTCCAGTAGTGAACTACTAGTTCACTGCTAGTTCACCCTAGTAGTGAACCCTAATGTAAATGATGGACTCTGGGTGATGATGGTGTGTCAGTGTAGATTCATCAAGTGTTAATCATGTACCAATCTGGCGGAGGAGAGGCAGGGATACAGCTGCTAAAGGGGGAGGGCAGGGATACAGCTACTTTCGTAATCCCACAACCCTTCCATCGCTTTTCTGTCAGACTCCACATATCTCAACCTCTGTTAGCCTAATTTCATGGTGTGCAGTGTAAAAACCAGCAGGGTTATGTGGATTAAGCTTCCTTCCCACAAAACCCTAGCCAGACTTATTGTTCACTACAAAGGTGATTAAAAGAAACTCTAGTGCCTTCCTGGTGGTGCAAGGGGTTAAGTCTCAGTGCTATCAAGCTATCACCAGCCACTGAGGCATGAGTTCGAATCCAGCCAAGGAGCTGACACACATGGCGCAGCAGACCTCTCCTCCCTCACCCGCTGCTCCCCTCAGCAGTGTATTTCTAGTAGATTTGCCTGTTCTGCTCCCCACTCAGTCTCTGGTGAATCCTCTCATCCCCCTGCACCTCTGACCTACACCCCAGTTCTTGTATGAATAAATAAGTAAAAATAAATGTTAAAAAAAAAGAAACTGCAGACAAGTTCAGATGTAGGAACATGTTCTCTCCTGAGACCATGTGGCCCAGGAAAAGGAGTACATCAGGAATTGGGGCTTGTTCAGATGCCCAGAGGAGGGCTCCCCACTCTCTGAGCTTGGAAATGTCACTTTCATTTACTGAAACTGTTTCTTAATTTGGAAGTGATCAGAGGTTGCATGAGGTGATCTCTTGTTTCTAAAATCCATTGTGCATGCAGGACAAGTTGAAACCTCGGGCAGAGAGTTAGCCTTGAAGCACGGAGCCCACGCCCTTGTTTTCAGTCTCTGGGAAGTGGTCCTTCCACGCCATGCCTTGGAGGGTGTTACAGGAGTAAAGTGTTTTGAATGTGAGGGGAAAATGCTCTTTTTCTATGTTTATCTGATGCTTATCAGCCAACGTGGTGCTGCCCTGTGTGTTATATTCACAGGAGCTACTAGAATAGCAACAACATTCATGTTCTCAGTTTTCAGGGGAGAATGAATCCAAGGGAATGAGTGTCTTCTCAAAATTGCCAAACCAACTGCTGGGGAGCCTGGGTTTGGACCTTATTGTGTTCTTTGATCCAATTATCTTTATTAATTCATCTCTGTTTCTGTTATTGAAGATCAGAAATGTAAGTTCAAGAAACTACTATGACGATCAGAGGTTTATTGTTATATATTATACTCAGGGTGAGTGTGTGTGTAAATAAGTAGTTCACAACAATTCTTGCACTATAGATGTGCCAGCATTATTACTCCTTGTAAAAATATAGGAAATTGAATCTCTGACTTCTAGAAATTATATTAACCTAAAGTTTGCTCTCTCCACATATGTGAAATACTTATGTGAGTATATAAAAATTCATATAAATGTGAATGTCTGAATTATAACTATATACGTAGTCATTTGTGAGTATGTTATTCACATACTATTTTTTTTCAGTTTTTTTGCCATTTATTCCTCTCACAGAAGACCTGCTAGTAAGTACTAGCACTCACCCTGAGTATAATATATAACAATAAACCTCTGATCATCATAGTAGTTTCTTGAACTTACATTTCTGATCTTCAATAACAGAAACAGAGATGAATTAATAAAGTACTAGGGGTAGGGTAGATAAGACATCTCCCTCACCAACCCCTTGCTCACAAATTTCACAGTCTGAGGGGTGATTCAAATGTGAATTGGAATAACTAAAGCACAAGGAATGAAGTATTTTTGACAGGATAATATAGACAAAATATAACTGGAGTTTAGAAGAAGATTTGGTCCTTTTATTCTTTCTTGTGAAGGCAGGGAATCCCTGACAGACAAAGATAACAAAGAGAGCAGTTTTCCCAGTAGAAGGTCACCATGAGAAGCCCCCCAGTATCTATTCCTCTCCTGGTATCATGGAGTCCCAAATGACATCATCTGTTGGCAAACACGTAAGAAAAGGTTTCTGCTGACCTCTCAGGACGGAACCAGAGCATGCTAGTTCATTGGGAGCCTGAATGTGTCTTGTTTTAGTTGTGGGCAGGTCAAAAGTTTCAAATCTTAGCATCACCTATGTTGAAGGCCCAAGACTGGCTGCTCTTTCTGGAATCTACTAGATCTCTTGATTCTGTAGGTGGAGAGAGAAAATATTGCCTTATAAAAAGTTAAAGAATGAATATTTGCATCATTGAATATTGAAAACCTTACCAGTGGAGACTCCTTTTTCCATGTGCTTTATGAAGAGACACACTCAGATTCACCAGAGATCTTCAGGCTGTAGCTTGCACTCAAGCCCCCACTTCTGCCTTTCATACCCCCTCAGTTATCTCCTTTACCCACCTTCTCAGTCCTCCTTGAGGACTTTTTGGTTCTTCCCCAAAGCTCTCCCTTCATTTGCTCCTAACTGTATATATCACTCATTTGGCACGAATCTTTTTAAAATTATACCATGATTTACCTTTTTCTAAGATGACTGGCTACCTCAACCCTACTTTTGTGTTCTTTGAGGGTAAGGGATGCACCTTCAAGAACTGAGCATAAAGGGAAGTTTATTTGCTTTCCTTTAAGTGACACACACTTAGCATATTAATTTATCTGAACAAAGGGATAATGAAGTGCAATATTTGCATACTGTCAGGACCTCTCTAAGGCCATCCCTTAAAACCCAAGCCACATCATATCAAACCTATTGAAATGTACCTACATCTCAATGAAATATTATGTACTTATGCATATTTATTTATATGTGGATACCCCGACAGCCATATATGTGTGTG